TTGTTAGTAAAATTAAAAACTTTTATATATAAGGAAAAATATATATTTTACTAATTATAATTAATAAAAAATTTAAGTATTATATTATTTTTGATTGTCATTGTAAATAAAAATAATATTTTTTTTAATAATATAAAATTTGATAATAAAAAATAAAAATATTAAATAATTAATATAATATTAAGTAATTATTAATTTTTTTTGAATTACTTATATATATAATTTTTTTATATATAATTAATTAATTCAGATTTTAAATTAAAGAATTATTATAATTAATTAATTTTAAAAAATCTAAAATAAATATAATAAATATAGTTTAATTAATATTTCAAATAAAAATCTAATTTAATTTAAGTTTAATTTTATTTAAGCTTGATTTTAAATTAAATTTAAATTTAAACTTATATTTTAAATTTAAAATTTAAATTAAATTTAATTTAAATTTGAAAAAAATTTAAAAATTTTCAAACTTAAATTTAATTAATTTAATATTTAATTATTAATTTAACTTAAATTAATAAATTAATTATATTATTTTATATTAATTAAATTTAATATATTTTTAATTATATTATATTATTATACTTTTAATATAATTAATTTTATTATAATTAAGATTAGTTTTTAAATAATTTTGAATAGTTTAAATAAAAAATTATTAGTAATTTAATTATATAAATATTTAAATAATATTTTTAAATTGATTTAAAGATTAATTTTAACTATAATATAATTTAATTATTAAATATTAAGATTAATTATTTATTATTATTATAAAAAGAAATTTTAGTTATTGATATTTATTAGTTTCTTTCAATAAATTAATAAATTAATAATTAAAAATATTTAATATAATATATTTGAAATAAGTTTGACTTCTAGATTAGTTTAAATATATTTATTTAATATTTATATAATTAAATTACTAATAAATTTTTGTTTAAACTATTTAAAATTATCTAAATATCAATCATGATTTGAAAATAATGAATTAATATTTTATATTCTAAAAGATTTAACTATTATTATTAAAAATTTAAAGATTTATAGTAAGATCAAATATAAAATTATTTATTTAATTAAGTTATAAAACTAAAAATAGATTATAAAATAAGAAATCTTTAAAATTATATATATATATATATTAAGTATTATATTATGAATAAGAAATTAAAAGAGAAAAAAAATAGAAAATAAAAGAGATCAGAAATATGAAATAAAAGATGAATAATAAATTAAAATAAAAAAAATACTGATTAAATAAAACTCAAAGAAAAATTAGTAATAATACAAGATTATATTATTTTATAATAGAGATATTTTATTTTAATTCAGAATAATTCAGAATAAAACTAAATTCAAAAACTCAAAATCCATAAATTAAATATTAGAATTATATAATTTTATAATTAAATACATAAGTTTAACTTATAAATTCAATAATTCAAAAATTAAACTCAAAATTATATTAATATATACTTATTTAGAATCTTTTAGATTAATTAATTATAATAAGATTTCAAGTTTTTCTTTTTTGAGCAAGCCAAAAAAATTAATATTTCTAATATTAGTATAATGAGAATTGCTATTTTAATTATAAAAAATTACGTAAAAATTATTAATATTAATATTAATAATACGATTTCAAGATATAGAATATATATTTAGTTCCTAAATTGAAAATAAAATTCATTTCTTTCCATTATCACTAGTAAATTTACTGTTATAATCAAATTTCACATAAAATATTCCGATCAGCTCTTTCTTTTATCCTTATCTTTCTTACAAAAATTTCATGTAAAACTATCTTTGCAATTGTCAGTATGGCGTTGTGTTTATTTGATTGAGAACAGGCAGAAAAAAATACCTTCAAGTCTCTAAGTTTATATAATAAGTTATATTGGAAAAATTTTATATTTTAGCTTGCCAAATGTCAATTACGAGCTCATTTTAACATAATGGATTTAGAAATCATTTATTAATAATATATGTAACTTGCTAAAAATGTTATTATTATCTAATAAATGCAGCTATTCAATTCTTCATTCTTAATACATGATTCCAATAATAGTTAATAAAAAGACAAATCAGATTCCGTTTTGCGTTGGATATATTTTTTTGATTTTTTTGCAAAATAAATTATATTATTTTGCCAATCTTCAGTATTTTTAGAAGTAAATTGAAAGTAATAAAGAATTGAATAACAACATTATTCCCCATTTTCCTGAACTTAAGAATTGGAAAATGCTGAGCTGATATACTGTTAATGTTTCTAATTCCGTTATAAATGTATAGAATGTATAGGTTTTAATTATGAATTCCTTTACATCTGTTATATACCGTACATCTCCGTTATATCCAGGAGTTTGGGTCAAATCCCGAAGAATAAATCCCCGACGAACAGAATCCGAAAGATCGTAATTCTGGAGTTTATTTCTTTGTTCTAACAAGAAATATTTCTTGTGAAAATTTACTATATCAATATATTCAATATAACCTTTATTCCAATATAATCTTTAATCTAACCTTTGCCACCAGGAATTTACTAATAACCGTATACGTTCCTTCATCATTCAGTAACCGTGGATCATTAATTTTGTATTTCCTTTTTGAGATGTTACGAGTCCAACAAATTTCAGTCATATTGTAAAGAAATCGAAGGTGAGAGACAAAATTAAACGCGAATTTTAGAAGAGTTTTGAATTTTTTTTTGGTTGCAAATTTTAGGAAATTTTTTTGATCGCATTATTTAGTCACATATTAGCAAATAATTATAACACCGCTTTTTTTATTTTTAGAATTACATATGAATTGGGGTGTTACTAATAATAAACACCGTATTGGACCAGTCTTTATTATTGAAGTTGAAATGAAGGAGTAAACCATAGTATCACTAATTATACTAATTATAAACTATCGTTGGAGTTGCGAACTTTCGGGGTTAGTTTCGGCTAACGGGATTGTGTATGTCCTCAGGATTTTGTCTTTTCGGGATTGTGTTCGCCTCCAGAATCGTGTTCTTTCGGGATTCTGTTCGTCGGGATTTAGTACCGTCGGGATTTGACTGCACCATACCCACAGTTGACTTTATATTTTATCGATCATGAACAAAAAATAATATTAATGTAGTCAATGACATTTTTTTCATACATAATGATCTATCAGAGGATTTTCCCGATCCTCAGTCAATGAAAATGATTTTTTGATTGTTAAAACACACGCGCGTATTATTACGTTGCGTATCTCATCCACTTCACGGCATGAATAAAATTCGAAGATCATTCTGTTAAAGTATTGATTTGTTTGTGAGAGATATCTATTTGCATTATCAGCACTGTACATTTATTTAAAATTCTTTTTCCTAAGTGAATGTCTATATCCATTTTAATGTTTATTATCCATCTCATCTAGCAGAATTATAATCCAAGTTTTTTATAAAGGTGATTGATTTGAATAATTACGACATCGACGGCGCTATTTTAAACAAACTAAAGCACTTAATTGCAAGCAGCTTTAAGATTTTAGAGATGATTCAAATATTAGTAATTGTTACAGTGTGACTTCAGTAAATATATTTAGCCTCAATCTTTATTTTCTATCTAGTCAAATAAAATACCGATACATATACATGTATGTTTGATGTATAATGTACTACATGTATATTCGGAAAGACGCACAAACTAACTAAATTTGACGTTTAATTTCAAATTCACACAATGACAAAAACGAAATACTTTGCAATGATAAAGTTCCGATAAATAAAATTTATTTAATTATAATTATACCCGCTTTTTTAAATCTGTAAAAGATTAGAAATGTCTAGTGATAAGCTGCTGTTGTGCAAGCTAAAGTTGCCTTCTTTATTCAAAAGAATTCAAGTACACGAAGTCTAATCTATTCAAGATAAAAAAAGAGGTCTTTTGACCTTCGAGAATATAAAGATAATGCAGTGTTACATAAGCATGACAGTTCATTAAATTCTCCGAACATCTCCCTTATCACAAAACAGGAACTTCATGTGCTAAGAGATTCCTATCTTCAAATGGCGTGTGATTTTGTGCATTACATGTTAAAACCCGAAATGGAAAAAAAAGAAATTAATTAGATCGGTGCGACGGGAGATAAGAGAAATGTTCAAAATTATATTTTATTTTTATCTCAAAGTAAAAGTGTGAATTCAACAAGTTTTTTTCACAAGCACGCGAGGATGTGTCACTTAACTCACTGGTTGGTTGGTCGGTTAATGGTAATGGTTACTTACTCGGATAAGATATAATTGATGTGTGTATGTGTTTCGTCTTTCTGTGCAGCGAGATTAAGTTTTGAGCGCTGCTAGTTTTAATGCTCGCGGATAAATACGTGTGGGAATAACTTAGACTATTTGATAAATAGGCAAAATATCTACATAAAGACAGTGAAAGCTTTCTTCGTCGGGTCACCTATTTTAATGAATTTATAGTTTAATGAACTAGCCGTGTTTTTTCTTTATATTGAAAACATAACGATAACAGATAATCATAAACATTAAAAAATGGTACATGCTCTCGATCAAGGTGTTGGTTATGGAATAGGTAGTTAATTAAATACTAGATTTCACTCGAATTAATTCTTCAATTATGCGTCCAAATTAAAGAAAAACTTTTATCATTTTATTCTTTTTCTAGTCCTTGGATTTGGGGCGTTCTTTGCCATAGTAATGACGCTTTTAACACTCGCACAAAAACGATATTTGAGTGAATATCAGTCAAGTGAAATGTTTATGACAGCACATAGATCTGTGAAAACGGGTTTAGTCGCTTCTGCTGTGGTCTCATCATGGACATGGGCTGCTACTCTACTTCAATCCTCAACGGTCGCTTTTAAATACGGAGTTTCTGGTCCATTTTGGTATGCGTCTGGTGCTACAGTACAAGTTTTACTTTTTGCAATTTTGGCAATAGAATTGAAACGCAGAGCACCAAACGCACATACATTCTTAGAGATTGTTAATGCTCGATACGGGAAACCTGCGCATATAGTTTTTTTATTCTTCGGTTTGGCCACTAATAGTAAGTATATTTATATTTTTACATGATAACAATTAAAAATATTTTTTGTTATTAAGCAAATTAATAGTAATTTCATTTATTTTCATCCACAATTAAGTGGTCGTAACCGCAATGTTATTATTGGGTGGTTCTGCTGTAGTCAATGCCATTACGGGGATGAATGTCATCGCTGCTTGTTTCTTATTACCTTTGGGTGTCATTATCTATACACTGTTTGGTGGTCTAAAAGCAACATTTCTTACAGATTACGTGCACACAACTGTAATTTTTGTCATCATTCTCTCATTCGTATTCACCGTCTACGCAACAAACGAAACAATTGGTTCTCCATCAAAAATGTACGATCTCTTAATTGCTGCCTCACAAAAACGTCCGGTTCAAGATAATGAAGATGGTTCTTACGTGACAATGCGCTCATTACAAGGTTTGATTTTCGGTATCATAAATATTGTCGGAAATTTCGGGACTGTGTTTGTCGATAATGCTTACTGGCAACGCGCTATCGCTGCAAGACCTTCGAGCACCGTAAAAGCTTATCTAATTGGTGGATTGGCCTGGTTTGCCATTCCATTTACGCTTGCTACAACAATGGGTCTTGCTGGTGTTGCTTTAGAATCTTCTCCAAGTTCAGGTTGGCAAACTTTGAGCGACGAAGATGTTTCTGCTGGATTGGTTGTTCCGAATGCGGCAACCGCTCTGTTGGGCAAATCCGGTGCTTTTGCTGTATTAGTATTGGTGTTTATGGCTGTAACGTGGGTTTATCTTTTACATTTCTGTGCGTTTGTTGGAAGAATTAACTAACCTATTTAACGTTATAGGTCTGCCTTATCTGCTGAGCTTATTGCAGTCTCTTCTATCTTCACTTATGACATCTTTCGTGCTTATATTCATCCTGGTGTAAGTATTTACGAGATTAATTTATTCTCATTATTGTCTAAAATGAGCTAATTGTTACATTTTTCCTGATAGGCTAGCGGCAGACAAGTTATTCACTTTTCACATCTTGCTGTTACCAGCTTTGGACTTTTCATGGGTGTTCTTGCTGTGATTCTTCGTGCTATCGGCGTTGATTTGGGATACATGTATTTGTTAATGGGGATTATCTCATCACCTGCTGTAATACCAGTAGCATTTACATTGACATGGAAAAAGCAAACAAGCAGGGCAGCAATTGCAGCACCTTTGTTTGGAGTCGTAGCTGGAATTTCATGTTGGTTAGGCACTGCTCAAAGCTTGTATGGTGAAGTTACTTTGTCTTCAACAGGCATGAATTACCCAATGTTGGCTGGAAATCTGTGCGTATTTCCGTTGATCTCGTTATTTATCTTTTATGAATCGAAGTTATTAACTTTATAAACTATCTTTAGAGTTTCTCTCATTTCATCTGGACTAGTAACCACACTTTGGTCACTTATAGCACCAGATGACTTTGACTTTAATATCACTCGAACAAAACTCGAACAACTAACTGACGACGAAGTTAATAATGTGCAAATAGATCCAAAAGAAACCGATCCAATTCTATTAAAGAAAGCATCTCGATTTGCCATCTGGAGTTCAGTTCTCTTGACGGTTGTGTTGATTATCATCTGGCCAATACCAATGTACCTCACGTCTTATGTATTTTCGAAACCATTCTTCACATTTTGGATTGCGTTGAGCATTATTTGGGCGATTTGTTCGACGTTTGCTGTTGCCGTGTATCCGGTGAGCTTGCTATCTTTTTGATTTTTCATCGAATTATTTCTTTGAGCTGCTGAATAACTCGATTGATTTCTTTCT